CCAAGCAGAGGTGTTAGGTACAGCAATTGGTGGGGAACCTTCAGGCAGACTCCTTAAATAGGTAATATAGAAAAGTTTCACGTGTAGCCAGCATGGTGGACAAACCTTGTAGATCCTTGTAGTACAAACTTTCCAAACTTGAAATTGTGACTCAGTACCGACTCAGTGCCAATCCATCCAATAAAAATGCGAGATTTTGTACCACCATTGATCAAATATTCGTTTTAATTTTTATCAAAGCTACTGATCACTATTTATTTTTAAATGCGAAATTTGCTTATCTATATTAGTTTTACATTTGTTGGTAATGAAATTCTAAGGTTTACAATATTGCCGCTATGTAATCACTAAATAAATTTTTGTGAATAGATTATTTAAAGACCCAGAATCCTGTTTTTGAGTTTTTTTTTGTATTTCTTGAATGTTTTTTACATTTTAATAAATGACCTTTCAACTGGTCAACTAAATCAACAGTTTTCTTTGTAATAATTACATTTTTGGCAAGAAACATGTTTATCGGGTTTAGCAACTTTAGCAACTTTTGTAAAGTTTAAATGGATTTTTTTTTACGAAGATCTCCCACGAACATGTTTTGAAGAATTTTTTTATTCTTTTTTTGGATTTCAGTAATCATAATATTATACATTTAAAATTTTACAATAAATCATAATTACATCATAATGTATTAAAATATTTTTTAACAGAATTAAATCAAACATGATTAAGATCGTGTTTTAAAACATTTGCCATTTCTACTTAAATATACATTTATTTATTCCATTAAACGTTTATATTAAAATTATTTATTAAATAACTTTATTAAATTAATTTATTATATATTTACATTTACAATTTTTGCATTTAAAAATCTATCACGAGCTATAAAATATGCTTGCTCAACCATCAGCAACCTTCCTTATTTTTTTGCAAATTTTCTAATATATCATCATCAGTTAAAATACTTTGATCTTGGTTATTTTCTTTATTGACTTCAGGGGATTCCACCAATTTTGACTTAGTCGAATCTAGTATGCTCAATCATGAGAGTAGAGAAGAAACATTATTATGTATACCAAGCTTAAGAAAATTTTCACAATAGTAACATTTCTATTTAAAAAATTAATAAAACAGCTCTCATGGTATCTGTGACCGCACACAATAACTATGGAGCTTTTACCTGTTCCATGTAACAATTCGTGGCAATAATCGCATTTATCATAAGCCAGCAAATGCTCACTACTAAATCCTAATGGCATTTGCTTTTTATGCACAGTAAAATTTAGCGACGCCAACTGAAAGGTAAATTTGCTCTTCATACTCTTGATGAAACTTTGACCTAGTTTTTGATAAATGTTTTCGAATATTCCAAGGAGAAACACCTCCGCCTTCTTAGTTAGTAAAGTTAGATGGTCTTTATTCACATAGGTGGATTTTTGTTGAGTGACAAAGGCATCTTCAAACGAATTATCGAATTTTTTCGCATTAATAATTTTAGCTGTTTTGGAAAGTTGCAGAGGTGTATCAAGAGGAGAAGTTTTTCGTCATATTATATTATGCATATTTTCAACCAGGTAATCTGTAAATTTAACTAAATGGTCTTTTAACACACTAAGTATTGGATGATTAATCAAATTCCAATAAAATACATCCGAGAGAAATACTAAAGGTGCCTTATTATAATTACGTCTCTCAAAATGCAGAAAAATAGATCACGCCCGAAATACACCTTCAACATATGATTCCCAATCGCCTGACTGAAACAAAATCGAGTAGATATCCAATCCAACTGGTATCGTATTATCTAATAAGTCAATAAGATATAGGTATTCTATATCTTTGCAATACTTACCGAACTTACCCATTACAATTGATTTAATTTCTTTCCATGCACTTCTAACTAGTTCTAAGAGTAAGAAGGTTCGATACAGACTTGGATTTTGACTAAGCTTTTTAACTGTTCTAAAAATAAACTTATACTCAGTATTAAAAAAATTCCAATATGTTTTTAATATTGCTTTGAGTAAATTCAACTGAATGTGAAGAACATCAATAATTGGTAAAAACGATAATACGTTGCTTGGTATGTTAATACCCCAATGATTTTGCAAATAAAGTGTTATAGCCTGTCGTATAAACACCTGCCCAGGCCAATCAGCTATAATTGGAATATTGTGATTAGTTAAATAATTATTTAATAAAGAAACTTCGTAAACATGTTGTAAAGCATTGATATACGAATCCACATATTCAAGCTTTAATTCAAAAAAATCCAAGAGACTAGTATCTTTCATTTTACGCTCTTCCTGCTGTTCTTGTATATGGGAATTATAGCTATGAAGAGTCATGTTTTCGAGTTTTTCATCCAAAGACGTTTCATAATAGAACCGATCATTAAAAGTCTTAGCCATTTGTTCCATATAATGATGACCTAAAACATTACAAACAAGTTCAAAATCAATTAGTTTTGGATTGTGAATTGATGCGCCATTTGACATAATTCGTGGAATAGCTGCCATATCAATATGATTTAACACCAAGGTTGTCATGTGTGCAACGTTTGATGTTGAACATGTATCGGGGACTCGCTTGGAATGAATGTTATGGTAATCGTCAACATTTAATGCTAATGCATTGTGCTTATTATTTTTTAAATATGAGTTGATTTTAGATAAATGGTCGTTAACGATTTCCGTCTTTATCCTGTCCAGATGCCTTTGTGACATCGTTATACCTGCATATGATAAAGCATCTAAAGCTTCCGCGGAAGCCCCCATTAAATCTAAAAAAAGAGATATATTTTCTTTAAATGCTGTTAGTTTAAAGTTTTGATTACCACAAATAATATAACATTCCACTGCCAATCTCTTATCAAGCTTATTTAAATTTTTTTCCCTTTTGTTATCTGAAAAAGTTGCATTATAAATTGAATTGAAAAAACTACTTAGCCTGAAATCTTTAGCTACCATTTCTTCTCACAGTTGTTTAAAACTATAAATGGTTGGCGTTTGTTCAACTTTTTCTCGATCGTATAGAAGTCTTGTTAAGATGTTAACCCCATCTATCCACGAAAGATTATCATCATCCGTTGTTGATTCATTTTTGAAATTCCAAAGTGGTATGACTTTGTTCTGATTCCAGCACATCAAATAACATTGATATGCTAATGACCACTCAATTTCTTTTTTTTTTGTTTCAGTTTTTCTTTTGAAACATGCCATTTCTTCAACTTGATCGAAAAAGAAACTTAGTTCATTATTCTTATTTTCCGCAACTGATCTAAGCTGAGAAAATGAGACAATAGGTGGATTTCTGTTTATTATTTCTTTCTCAAAAATAATATTAGTTAGTAATGAAATACTTTCACTCATAGAAACACTATTTCGACATCTTTTTAACCCTTTCTCCCATTCTACGGCGTGCTCTTTAAAAACACTTGATCTGTTTACCACAATTGCATTATAGCAACTCATGCACATATACTCATTCTCATGATCCTTATAGTATGAAGCCAGAGTTTTGTTGGCCCCTGCCTTGTTTAGCATGTTCTCTGTTATTTTTTTCCATTTTGAAGCGGGAGCTCCCTTACAGATCTTCACTACGCACTTCTTGGTCGAATCGTGAACTAAATCGCTGTCCATTTCCTATAAAACTTGTTACTAGTAAAAATTTTTAAATATTGGGATTATTTGGGATTAAATTTAATAATATATAGGCTATTTGAATATTTTTTACTCACTTGCTTTTTAGTGCAGGTTTATTTGGTAGGTTTCAAGAAACTGCAAGAACAAAAAGTACTTTAACCTGTATAAAAAATCAAAAAAAAATTTTTATTAAGTTGGCTAAGCCACAATGACGATCACCCAAATTCAGGTTTGTCCACCATGCTCGTGTAGCCAATTGTACACTCTCCTGTAGTAGTTCATTGAACCACAATACCGACAAGTAATTAATAAAAGTCAAAAGACCAAAGAGGTCACCTTAATACCAAAAAAAAAATAAAATAAAAGTTTGCTATATTAAAAGATTAAGTATAAATAAATTTGTATTGTTTTTAAAATAGAAAGTTGTAAAGAAAAAATTTAATTAAAAGTTTAAGAGATATTAGTTTAGTAAAATATTGAGACAAGTTGAATTATTTGTTAAAGAAAAGTTGGTCTTAGTAATCTACAAAAAGAGTTGGATGATTTGGTATCTTAGCAAAAAGTTCTATAAATTACTAGTTACATAAATTTTATTAATAACAGTATTTTGTATAACTAAAAATTTATAAATTGTTTTGCTCTTATTTAATAATTTAAATATTATTAGAATTAAAAAAATAAGCTTTATAACTTTAATTAAAAATTCAAAAAACCTTTACTTAATAAAAATTTTTAAACTTAATACAAATAAATTATATTTTTATATTAATGAATTAATTAAAAATCTCTAAACTTCAGATATCAAATCTAATATAAGATAAATTTTCAAATATAATACATCTATAAAATTTAATACAACTATACAATTATATTCTAACCAACTTGTATTAAACTTAAAACAACTTTTACTTTCTTATTCACACATTTTACTAAATATTTATATTGATAATACAATTACAATAAAAAACCTTGACTTAACAACTAGTCTTAAACTAATATAAACCAAAAATTAGAATACTGTTCACTATATCAACTATTTCAAATATCTTAAAAACATTACTACTATTCTTTACAAAGTTAATTATATTCTACAGATTTCTTTTGCTACCAAGCAAATTCACTTACTAAACAAAAAACATTAAAACATATTATTTAATTTAATAATTTAAAATTTAATACTTTAAATTATGTTATATAAAATAACTACTTAATTCTCTTTAAAGCTCACACTTTTATCAAAAATTCTATAACTATTCAAGTGATTGTCAAATAATCAAATTTAAATTTTTTTAAAAATATTACCAACATTAATAGATACTCAAATTTAAAATTATTAGTTTATTTAAAGATAATATACAAAAATACTTCTTTTATATTAAAATGCTTACTAATAATTTACTTACTATGTAAATCTCAATATTTATTATCTATAATTTTATATTACATTAAGCTGCTCTTATTGTACAAATACTGAAGACACTTTTCATCTACTTTCATGCCCAAGTAATATTCAAAGCGTTCTTCAATTACTTAAAAGCACAATATATAATACTTTAATATCATTCCAAATTACTAACATATTTCTAATAATTTTATTAAATATTCTTTTAAATTTTATACTTAACTCTTCAAATCCTCAATTCAAATACATTTTATATACTCTTACTAGAACTTACTCTACTACTACTTATAAAAACATTAAAATACTTATTAGTAAACAAACAGATACACTTTTACTTCACCTTTCAAATGATCTGCTAAACTGGTTTTACCAAGATCTCTAATCTATTTATAATGTATTTCAATATTAATAAGAACAATCTCAAAATATTATATCAAGATTAAAATGCTTCAAAATTAGTTTATCATCTTTATATAACCTTTCAAACAATATCACAATTTTTTTTTTACCTATTAATACTAATTTTTATATTACTAAATAACTTTTACAAGTTACTTACTAACTATCTGTATTTACTAATATTCAAATAATCACTCAAAGGTTTCCTCTAACCTATTCTAGCTAGAACCTAATTTGAAATAGTTAACTATAACATTTATAGAAAATAAAAGGTGTAATGTCATATTGGATGCCTACTAGTAGCACAAATGTAGTTTAGAAATCTTTAATTTAAGAACTTATAATTTTATATATATAAAGTTTTTACTTAAATATTATAATTAAATAAAAATAAAAAAATAAAATAAAATAAATTCTTAAAATTTAATTAACTAATTAAAAACAAAATATTTTAATATATCATAATAGAAATATTAATATTATTATTACTACAATTATTTCTTGATAAATCTTAAAGTTAATTTTAATTGTTAAGAAAATAATTGTTATGCAATAAATCAAATCTAATAAAATTTAAATAATTAAAAATAAAAATGCTTATAAATTAAAATTTATATTAGATTAAAATTTAAATATTAAAGTTAAAATAAAAATTTATGCTAAAAAAAAAATCTATTAAATATAAATGTAAACCATTTAGATTTTAAAAATACTAAGCTAAAATAGAATTATTATTAATTTTTTTTGATATTAAAATGACCTTTTTGCTTCTTTGACTTTATTAATCACACCAGTAGTGTCCAACATCAGAGTTACCATAATGTATATCAAAACCTAAATAAATAACCAATTCTAGACGTACTAATCAAAAATGTTCAGTGCCCTAAGACTTTACCTTTATTAAAATTTAGATCTATAGTTTAGGTTCTGTAACCCTAGGTTTAACTAGCAAACCTATTAAAAATATATGTGATGTTAAACACCACTAGTGTGATTTAGTGTTAATGTAAAACATTATAAGTAAAAAATATATAATAATTATGCATTCAAATAATTTATCAATCTAGAAATCAAAATAATGTAAGTAATAAATTTGATATTTATGAATAAATTTAATGTCATAATACTTACCAGTAGAAATCTCAACAAACTCTATAGTTTTACTAACTTTAATTGCACTCATTATATTTTGTACATTAATAATTTTGCTAAAGTTCATGTGACTAGAATGCTTTTGAGGGGTTATTGATGATGTTTTGACGATTTTATCGGCATTTAAGAACTGTTTTTTGATTTTATTTTCATCATCTGAAGATAACTTTGCAAGCCAGTCATTAATTTCTTTATTAATATCCGAAATATTAGGCCGTTTTTGTGGGTCTGAATCCATGCACTGTTTCGCCAATTCAACATAACAATCAGGAGTTCCAGGAGCAAATTCTGGTCGTAATCCTTCACAAATATTTAATGCAAGTTTATTAGATTCAAAACCATCAAAAGGTCTTATGCCAGTTATTTCAGCCATAATAACGCCAAATCCATAAATGTCAGCTTCTTGTTTAAATTGTTGCTTGCCTAATAAAACTTCCGGTGCAACATATTATATGACTCCATAAACTTTATCATTTGAATCATCACCATTTTTTCTTGATAATCCAAGGTCTGCTATATACGATTTTATTTTTCCGTCGAGGTTTTGGTTTAGTAAAATATTGCCACTGTGAAAGTCACAATGTATGAATCCTGCCTTATGAATTTGAAATAAATCATTCGACATATATTTAAGTTGCTCCAATTTCTTTTTCCATGTAAGCTCACTGAAATTTTCTCTTAAAAATTTACGAAGATTTCCTTTATTTGCGTATTGAAATACCATTAGATAATCTTTATTGTTAGTGTTTTGTGTCAATCCGTACATCTCAAGTTCACTACCCTCTAATCTGCATTTCATGTGATTTTTAAACTTTTAAAAGAGAAAATTGTATGATTAAAAAATTTCTATATAACATATATTAAGTTTATGATCACTTAAAGAACATTCTTACCTCTTTTAAAATATTCGATGAATCCGTCTTAGAACCAGGGAATGTTTTCAGTGCAACAACATAAGGTAACATACGTGATCGTTTATAGCAATTATCAAACTTCTCGACTGTTCGCTTACCATCTGACCAAATTGCTGAATATACTGCGCCAAATCCCCCTTTACCAATTTCTTCAGTATTAGATAGGTTTTCATACGGAATCCATTCAATTACTTTTTCATATCCCGTAGCTTTAAGTTGAAATTCTTTGATGCAATCATTAATCTCATTATCTTCACTTAATGATTTATTTTCAATCACGGAAGGATCGCACGATTGGCACCATTCTGGATTGGTATTAGGTCGGTTACATTCCTTACACTCTCCATATTTGTTGATATCTCTTTTATTATAATAATAATCAAGGACAACCATATATTGTTCGGTCTCATCTCTAGTTATTCCATATATTTTATATTTCTCTTTCATCATTTCATTAAACTTACAAGATATATGTGTCGTTTTAGAAGTCTTACGTAATTTAATTCAGTAAATTAATAACATATTGAACAATTTAACTTACTTTCTTTATAAAATCCAAAGTGCTTGTTTGAGAATTGTGCAATTTTATAAGATCAA